CATATAAACAACTCTGACTCGTTTTTACCCGTTACTCGATCGATTAACCCAACATGTTTAAAACCCGTCTTGATTTTGATCCGACCCGTTTCAACCTACTACTTGACAAACACAACTTACGATAGATTATGACCCAACCCATTACTACTAGTTATCTGATTGACCCAACTTGATATTAACACTATATAATTTGAACCGGAACTTGCTTCAAATTAGGTAGACCTGTTTTCAAATCGAACTAGTTTAACCCAAACCGATTATGACATGAACCGATAATGACCCAACTCGATTAGACCTAGTTTGTTTTTAATCGAAACCTACTTTAAGCTTGCTAAATCCGTTTTCAAACCGACCTAATTCAACTAAATCTGATTATAACTCGAAGCGATTGCAACCCAACTCGATTAGGACCCGATCTGTTTTGAACAGAAAATCGCTTCAAACTGGCTAAACCCAATTCCAAACCGACCTAATTCAATGCAAACTAATTATGACCTAAACTGATTACAACCTAAGCCGATTAGGACCCAAAACGAATAGAACTTCTATAAAGAAAAAAAAAAAACAAAATCGAACCGAAAATTTTCAAAACTGACTAGAACTAGTAGTCATTTGAACCCGTTATAAACCGGCCCATTATAACCCGAAATCAAACCGTGTAACCAAATTGACACCTCTAATTATTATGTAACTTCTAATAACAACTAGTGAGTGTCCGGACAATAATCGAGTTATTACTTTTCGTTCGTAACTACTGTCTAATAAGTAAATTTGCCATTGAGTATGCTTTGCATTCAATGTGCGTGTGGCATCAAAGAAGTCTCATTGATACCTAGTAGCATAATGAGATCCACATTTTATGAAAATTTGTTGATTTGATAACAAAAATGACAACCAGCGCTAGCTTAACAATTCGTTTACAAAAGTTTACAACAACAAGAACTGTTACAATTGTGTACATAGTTTACAATAATAATCCCTTTATCCTACAATAATTATTAACGCAGTCAAACTTGACACACTACAAAAAAATAGACATTTAGCAATAGATCAATTTCGTTGCTAGATTGTACTTTTCTGTCGCTAAATATAGGTAGCGTCACATTTTGAAACGGAATTACTCCGTTGGCAAAATTGTTGTCGCTAAATGAGACTAGCGACGTTGTATTTGTTTTCTGTTGCTGAACTTAGCAACGGATTTTTATTTCCGTCGCTGGTTTTAGCAATGGAAAAAAAATCCATCCTAAATTTAGCAACGGGAAAAAAAAATCCGTTACTCATATCAGCAACGGAAAAAAAAAATCCGTCTCTAAATTTAGCAACGGTAAAAAAAAAATCTGTCTCTAAATTTAGCAACGGAAAAAATTTGTCTCACTCGGGTCAACCCGACTTGGCTTTGCATGTAAGGCTCCTTGAATCCCCAATCTCAAGAATCCCAATATGTAGAAGTCGAACCCGTGACCTCAAAGTCACATAGTGAAACTCTTACCAACTATACCAAATATTATTTGTTTACTTCTACGCACATAATTGATAATAAGTGAAAGAAATATTAAAGATGGAATTTAAAATCCGTTTCTAGTTTAGAAACGGATTATCAAATCCATCTCTAGTTTAGAGATGGATTTTCAAATCTGTTTCTAGTTTAGAGAAAGATTTTTAGTTTACATAATTCGTCTCTAAAGGAATATTTTACATAATTCATTTCAAAAATAATTTAGAAACGTAATTAAAAATCCGTCGCTCATATCAGCAACGGAAAAAAAAAATCCGTCTCTAACTTAGCAACGGAAAAACAAAAAAGAAAAAAATCCATCCCAGAATATCTAGGACGTTGGAATTTTTTCACTACTCATATATGTAATCCCCCGTAATTTTGTGAAATTTAAAATTATATTTTTACATATTTATGTGAATATTTAATTATGATTATTTATTTACATAATTTATTTTACTATGATTTAAGCAAATAAAATTGATGTTTATAAATTTAATAAAATTATTTCATTAAATTATTTCACTACCAATATTTTAATCATGAATTATTATGCAAGCTAAGTCCAACCCATTAATTATTAAGCCTATTCTTTTTTCTAAAACCCACTCACGTTAAGCCCAAGTAACAATCCTAGTTTTATTAGAACTAGGAAACTCAAGATCCTTATTTCCCCTCTAATCTCACGTAACCCCTCAAGCTTTCCCCCTCCTCAAGATTCATTTTACTCTATTGTCTTCCCCTTTTACTTCTCATGATAAAAAAAAAAAAAAAAAAAAAAAAACTTCGAACGCTGCCGTGTTGCTGCCGCTGACTTCAGGCCACTGTCGTGCCCACCTGCTGCACTGGCGTCCACCATAGCCACCCTTGACCACCGTAGTTCGCCCCTCTCTCCCCTTCCTTATTTCCTTCCTTTTGTTAAATTATTTCAAGTTATAATCTTTATTAAGTTTTTGTTTTGAATTGCTATTTTTATGGTTTAATTATCCTAAAAGATTATAAATTTATGAATTATACTATGTTTGATTTATGGAATAAAATTTCAGATTTGGTTTAATCAAGAATAATTAAGGGTTTAAATGTGGATTTTTCATGGTTTTAGGGTTTAAAACGAGTTAATTAAGTTATCTAATTATATTATGTGTAAATTATGTTTAAATTCAATTATCTTCTTTTTTAAATTAATTTTCAGATTTGAATTATGTTTATTTTAGAGTATAAGTTGTGAAATTTAAAGGTTTGATTGAGTTTTTATGAAACTAATTGAATTCTAATTATATATTTTAAGTTTAGATTGTTGTATTCACACATTCTACTATTAAATTAAATTTTTAGATTTTTAATCTTGGTTTTAAAGGTTTTAAATCATGGTTTTATGATGGATTTTTTGGTTTTTAACATACTAACCTACTACATAATGATTATTTCAAGTAGAGATGTCTATGAGGTTGTTTTATTATTTTAAACTAAATTTTCAGATTATGTTCTTACCTTAAAGCTGCTGGAATTTCATGTTATAAACTATATTTTCATGATTTTAGCATATAAACTTATAGTTGAACTATTAAATTATTAACTTTGGTAACGAAAAAAAAAATCCGTCTCCAAATTTAGTAACGGATAAAAATCCATTTCAAATTTATGAATGGAAAAAAATCCGTTTCTAATTTAGAGACGGATTTTGAATTTCGTTTCTAATTTAGAGACGGATTTTTTTATTTCTGTCTTTAATTTAGAAACAGATTTTTTAATTCCGTTTCTAAATTAATTTAGAGATGGATTTTTTTAATTTCGTCTCTAATTAAGAAACGGATTGAATTCCGTTGCTAGAATTCTGTTTGTATATGGACATTTTTTTTGTAGTGACACATATGCCCAAAAAAAAAAAAATCCCAAAATAGCAAGTGTTAATTAAAAATGGAGAGAGTAGTAGTTAGTGCGTTTTTATCCTGGACTGTGTACCGGGCTGACACGAGAGCCGGTTAGGCACGACATGAAAATGACTCGACTTGGCACGAACCAGTTGCAAGCTTGGCACGTCGCACATGGGCTATGCATTTTGATCCATTTTTAAAATTTGTACGAACCTGGCACGAGCACAAAGGACCGACCCAGGTGATAGCCCCCTTATTTTGAACCAAGTATTAAATAAATGAAATATTAGAAACCTGGTAGCATGACACGTGGGTTGAGCTGTGCGTGGACTTCGTTTATGAAAGGTTGGCAAAGTCTTGGCACATCACTATTAATTTATCTGTTTTAGATGCGACCTATTTGAGCATGAATCACGTTGACATGGCACATGGACCTACACGGAGGCCCATGTCCGTCTTTATATTTACCTATCCCAAAGCACATGTGCTTGGCACGAGATTTGACATGACGTGGCATTGATCCATCTTTCCCTCTAATTCTCAATAAACATTTGTTTTTGTTTATTAAATTCCTCCCTTCCCCGAATAAATAAATAAAATAAAAGATCAAATTTACCCAAAATACTTGTACGATACTAAATATTTCATTTTAATTTTAACTATATATTTATTTACTTTAATCATCAGAAATTCACTTTCTTCGCCTTTTTAATTACTTTTAATTACCCAATCCCACTACTTTATGATTTTATTCACCGGCCTGTCTAGTAATTTGTGCAAAAAGAAAACGATATTACTATTTCAGGATAGAGGGAGTAATTATAATTATTAAAATTGTTTGTTACTCTCAATTCTCAAGCATGATATATTTAACCATTGAGGTAAGTTATACTGCACATGCATGCTTTTCAATCATTGCAAACCAAACAAACAAATTATATTACAATATAATAAATGAAAATTCCTAAAATTTGGAAACAATCCTAAATTATTACATTAATTTCAGAATAATTAACATAGTCTGACTTTTCATATTTGATTTTTTTACTAATTTATCAAAGTTAAATATTATCATGTAATTTTTTAAAATAAGTATTAATGTAATAATGTATTATACCATAATTTTTTTTTTCATTTTGAAAAGCAATACTTCTTAGAACCATGGTTCTATCTTCACAAAAAAAAAAAAAAGAACCATACATGGATTATTCACTCAAACATCTTTAATATTATTCTTTTCTCGCATCCCTTATTTTAAAATGAATTATTCACCTACTATTATTTTATCTTATAATTTTTTAAGTCTCTAACAAACCCCATTTACACAATATTTTATAAAATTTAACTCAACCGTATAAAAATCTATGCCGATCAAAGTGTTACACTTAAAAGAATCACGGAGGGAGTAATAGTGTCTAGACCCAAAAACTATTTTAATAATTAAACCCAACCAGCTCGAATGAGAGGTTAAAAGTTGTACGCGGGAAGAGTAACTTGTTTTACTTATTTATTTTTATTTCAAACTAGTATTTTAGATGCATGGTTATATTATAAATTAACACTATATGTTACCCACGTAAATTATTTTAACTTTTCTAATAGAGTACATTAACTCAATCAAAAACTTTTAAAGAGAAAATTAAGAACTCCCTGTCTATATAAATATTTATGTCGATAGTTGTTGATAGTCACAAACAAGAAGTGTAGCTTAACTCTCAAAAAGAAAAGGAAAAAAGAAAAAGAAAACCCCAAAAAGTAAAGAAAGGAAAACAAAAACAAAAACAAACAAAACACAAAGAAATGGCAAATTGCTTTGGTGTTGAAGTTGATGATCTGAAATTAGACGAATTCGATAGGTATCTCGACAAACCCAAATCCCAGGAAGACCGAGCTAGGGAAGCTATGAATCTGATTAGCGATGGAAACAAAAGTATAGATGCTGAAAAATATGTGCGGGATTTGAAAGACGATTATGGTTCAGGTGTCTCGACGTTGTGCCTGGTTTACAACGCAACCGGAGACACTTTGTACCATGTAGTCGACAATGACTGGATGAATAGTAATATTGGCCGCACACCATACCCTGTCAAGATCGGAAATGGTCAGTGGGCGGCTTTCCTTCATGTCCACAAGACCAGTGATGCTACTGGTTCTGAGGCCGCGGTTGTGTACCGTGGCAAGAACATGTATGGAAATGACCGTGACTTTTTGCTAGCTTGGTCTACACCATTTGGCATTTGGTACAAAAACAAGGTATAACCAATTATTTCTTTAAATTTGATGATATGGTGTACTAAAAGTATCAATTGTTGTGCATAATAATCTTTAAAAAAAAGGAAAAAAAAAAAAAACAAATATTTCCTCCGTTTTTAATGGGTAATTCTCTGTTTCTCATTGTGACAAACAAGTTTTGTTTTTCATGGGGTATGTGTCAAGATTTGGAGCTCTCACTCATGACACATACGCGGTCCCCACCAGTGAAAAACATCACATTATTTTCCAAAATGCCATTATGAGAAACAATTTTGTTTCTCATAATGAGAAATTGGGGCTCCCTCGTCTATTGTCTATCATATTTGACTAAAAAACAGAATTCGACGACTAACTAGTAATTTTGTTGGTGCAGGCTTACTGTGAGGAGGGTGGAGTTGACACTTTTCAGAGGCGTTGGGATAATATATATGATAATATTAACAACGGCGACTATTCCAAAACAACCGACGCAAATGGAATACATATACAGGTAGACACTGCTAGCGGCGGAGCACCCATATTCAAGGCAATAATCCAGATCCCTTTTGGTCCATGAAAATCGATCAAAACAAAAGAGCGAGGCTAGCCCTCAAAATAAAATTATCATCTTTGATTTCCTTTGACTTTTTCGTTCTATAGTCTGCTGTTTGATCAGTTCATTTTTTTTTTCTCCATTTTTGTTTTGTGAATGTTGTTCCTGAAATTTGAGCATCAATGTACTTGCTCTTACTCCTTGTGTGCTTATTTTCAATAAAAAGTTGTGATGTATTATATATTCTTGTTCTTTGGAAATCGTTTTTCAATTCAATTTATTGATATCAAATACTCCCTCCGTATATTAATAAGTGTTACACTTTGACTAACATATAATTTTAGGCAATTTAATTGACTTATATAAAATAAGAGATAAGTAGGTAGTTGAAGTATTAGAAAATTGTTTCGTGTCGTGCCTAACTGGCCCTCGTACCAACCCGATGCACAGTTCAGGGTTAATACACTAACTACGACTCCCTCTTTTTTCTTAATTTTCACTTGCTACTTTTGGATTTTCTTAATATTTGTATCACTTTTATATTTAGTTATTTTATATCATATATTAATATTATATTACTATCTCTTCTTTAAAACCTCACCTAAATTATTTTATCATTTCTATCTCTTTTATGGTCCCTAAACATTAATATAAAAAGTATTTTGATATCAACCATTTCTAATGTTTTCTAAAAAATATTAAATTAAATTATATATACTTAAGGTCAAATTAGTGCATTGCGATGTGTTCTAAGTTTGACTGTGTCTATTATATTGAGATCGCTGGATTATTATTGAAAATTTGGTGTACACAAGTTTTATTGTTGTAAACTTTTGTAAGCAATTGGTTAAGCTGGATGTCATTTTGTAATCAAATCAACAAATTTTCCATTAAATGTTTATGCCACTATGTATATATCAATGAGATATCTTTGATGCCACATACACGCACATTGAACACAAAGCGCACTCAATGGTAAATTTACTTATTAGACAAAAATTACGAACGAAAAGTAATAACTCGAGTATTGCTAGGGACACTCACTAGTTGTTTATTAGAAGATAGATAATTATTAGAGGCGTCACTTCGGATAAGTGATTCGGTTTCGGGTTATAATGGTCGGTGTATAAAGGTTAATGACTAGCGGTTCAGGTGGGTTTTAAAAATTTACGGTTCGATTTGTTTTGTTTTGTTTTTATTTTTATTTTTATTTTTTTAATTGAAGTTCTATTCGTGCCAGGTCTTAATCGGTTCGGGTCATAATTAGTTTGCGTCGAACTAGGTTGGGGTTGGAAACAGGTTTAGCTTGTTTGAAGCGAGTTTCTGCTTAAAACAGATCAGGTCCTAACCAAGTCGGGTTGTAATCGATTCGGGTTATAATCAGTTTTGGTTTAACTAGGTCGGTTTGAAAACAAATTTAGCAAGTTTAAAGCAAATTTCGGGTTAAAATAAACTAAGTCAAGTTGGGTCGGGTTACTATCAGTTCAAGTCATAATCGGTTTGGGTTTAACTAGGTCCATTTGAAAACATGTTTACGTAGTTTATTTGAAGCGGGTCTCAGTTCAAATTATATTGAGTTGATATCGAGTTGGGTCAATTAAATAACTGCTATGAACGGGTCCGATCACAATCGATTTAAGTTCTAAATAAGTTGTGTTTGTCAAGTAGTAGGTTGAAACGGGTCGGGTCAAAGTCAAAACGGTGTCTAACATGTTGGGTTAATCAAATAGTGGGTAAGAACGAGTTAAAGTTATTTATACGCGTATACAACTAGGTGGGAGGAAAATATAACTAGTACAGTAGTACTTGGAGTTTTTAAATTTGTGTTTGTTTTATTTTTATTTGTATTTATTTATTTATGTATTTATTTTTGTATAATTATATTATACCATACTGTAAATATATAAATAATACTTGTACATGTATTAAAGTTTAGCCTAAAGACTAACTTTATACAAATTACAGAAATAGCGCATAGTAAATGATTCGAAAACAATTGGTTTGTACGGGTTATCTGGTTGAAATGGTTCCAATTGGACAGCTTGCAGGTTGTTAACGATCAGATACAACGAGTTATCGGTTGAAATAGTTCGGGTTAAATAAATGGCGGGTTGTATTCATTCGGACATATCGAGTTATAAACAAGTCATAACAAGTTGTATTCATTCGGACATAACGAGTTACGGGTTGTAAACGGTTATGTTACAACGGGTTACGAATTGTAAACTATTCGGTAACAACGAATTACGAGTTGTAAAGGTTCGGTCACAACGGGTTTGACTTATAAATAATCAAGTTTTTGTCGGGTTTAAACTATTTTTGTTTAAAATTGTAAAAAATAATCCCAACTTTGCTGTATTTTCTTTTAATAATCCCAATTTTGGATTATTCTGAAATAATCCGAACTTTGGGGGCTATTTACTTTCTTCAATCCCAAACCGGTCAATAAAAGTCAATGACCTATTACATTAGGTCACTTGACATGTGTCAAGTCCTGATTGGTCCAAAAAATTTAAAAAAAATTTAAAACAAAAACAAAAACAAAAAAAATAAAAAAATCACAAATACCAGCTAGCCTCCCCTTTCCCCACCGGCCTACCCTAACCTCCACCATCACTGCCAGACCGACGACCATCCCTCGCTGGACCGTCGCGTCCCCACTTACCCTGGCGTCGCTGTTTTCCCTTGAACCACCACCCCCAAATTTCCAATGCAACCAGTTGCCACTAAACACCACCGCCTAGCTCCCCATCTCACCAATAACCACCAATTTCTGAAAACTTCCTTCCTTGCCCCCAAAACCCCTCCCCCTCCCTTCCCCGTCCTGTAAAATGCCCCTTTCCCTTCCCCTTCTTCGTTTTGGCTACTCAAATTTCAAAGTAAATTGGTTTAAGGGTCTAGGTTTCAACTTCAAAGTAAATCGATTTAGCAGACCACCGCGACGCGCAGTGGGTTGAGGGTTCAAATTTCGGCGGATTTCCCCTCCCCCGCGCCGAATGAGAAGCAGTTGTTGCATGGGGTTGGGTAGTGTGGAGCTTTTGTTTGTTGCGCGAATTGTGGTTGCGAGGTGGGAGTGCAGGGAGGTGGATGTGCGTTTGGGGAATGGCTGAATGGGAAAGGGGCTGCGGCTGTTTACCGGCATGGGGGAGAGAGGGGTGAGGTAGTGGGGGCGGCCGGCCGACCGACGTTAGTGGTTGGGTGGCCGGATCTTTTGGGTTGGGGTTGGGGTTTGGTTGGGTTGAGAAACGTGAGGGTGCTGGGTGGATTCTTTTTTTAATTTTGTTTTTTTTTTAAATTTAAATATTTGGCTAATTAGTTCTTGACATGTGGCATTTAATTAAAAGAATTAACCTTTTCAACAGGTAAGCAGTAATTGGGATTGAAGAAAGTAAACAGCCCCTAAAATTCGGATTATTTCAGAATAATCCAAAATTCAGATTATTAAAAGAAAATACAACAAAGTTGGGATTATTTTTTACAATTTTTCCTAATATTTATGTGTTTTATTATTGTTATCAACATGGAATATGACCCAAATTCTTTTTACCAACATATATCCTTCCATTATTCTCTAGATTGAACAAATCAAAAGAAGTATTACTCAAATGACAAGCCAGGACAACCCTAAGAACAAAAATAGACCACAAAAATGGACCTCTCCAAATATACCCAATCCCGAAGCAAAGATATTTTTTCCACTTATAATATGGATTACTTGAAATTAGGTGTTACTTGAAATTACGTGTGAGTGTCAGACTCCGTTATTTTTGCTTAGTTGGTAGCAGGCCACACGATGTGGCCTGCTGCACCAAAAAGGCGCTGAAAATACATTACTCCGTATGACAAATATAATATCATATTAAGTTTTAGAAATTCAATTAATTTATACTTCATAATTTTTTAAAAAGATATAATTAAAGATTTGATTGATCGAAAATATGTAATGACAAAGTGCATAGTCAAATTAAATAACAATTTTTTTTTTATGGTTGACAAGCTAGAAGGGAAGATAGAAGTGACGGAAGCAGGGAAAGTCATACTAAATTACTAATAGATTAAACTAATAGAGTGGACATAAATAATCAAACTTATGTATGATAGTGATTAAGGTTATGACGTGTTAGGATAACCTGACAGGCAATATACATTCACATAATCACATCTGAATCGGAATGCTATACTTAAGTCAGCATTGACTAATTAATTGTCTAATACAAGTTAAGTAAATTTAAACAAGTTTTTCTTGTCAAAAAAATTTAAACACTTTTTTTTTTTTTTTACGCATTAGTAGACTAAATATAATTTACTTGGATTATTAAACATGGATCATGACAAACATCAATCATTAGTAGAGGTGTCAATTTCTAAGCCGAACCGGTGAACCGACTGTTTCGAACCGATCCGAAAAGGAACCAAACTGTTCAAAACCCATTTTTGAAAACCGACCCAACCTAATTTTTCAACCCAAAACCGAACTGAACCGAACCGATTTTTTCACAAACCGTTAATGACTTGCATTCGTTATCAAGTTGAATCATAATAACCTGAAATCGAGAACAACCGGAATCGATTACAACCCGTAATCCGTTGTGACTGAACTGTTTACAATCCATAACCTGTTGTGACCGTACCGTTTACAACCTATATAACCCGTAATGTCCAAATACAACCCACAATTTGTTTAATCTGAACCATTTCAACTAATAACCCATTGTATCCGAACCATTAACAACCCGCAACATGTCCAATCTAAACATTTCAATCCGCTAATCAGTACAAACCAATTGTTTTCGAATCATTTACTATACATTATTTCTTTGATTTGTATACATTATTCTTTTTTGACGGAAATTTAAATATATTATTATTTATAGTCTTTAGACTGAACTTTAATACATATATATTATTTATATATTTACTGTATAGTAAAATATTAGTAAAATAAAACACCAATTACTAATTTAAAACTACAAGTACTAATTGTACTTTCCTCACATCTAGTTGTATACGCATATGAACAAGTGAACAACTCTGACTCGTTCTTACTCGCCATTCCATTAACCCAAGATGTTCAAAACCAGTCGTGATATTGACCCGACCCGTTTCAACCCTTTTACTTGATAAATCCAACTTATTTAGGACTTAATCCGATTATGACCCGATTCGTTCTTATCCGTTGTCTAATAAAACCGACCCAACCCGACTCGATATTAATTCGATATAATTTGAACGAAACCCACTTTAAATGGATAAGTCTATTTTC